TAAATAAAAAGTGCCAACGACCTGCGCAGGCGCACGCAAACCTCCGCATATTTATCACAATCGGAGATCTTGTTGGGACTATTGCAATATCTAAATCTGTGTTAGATTACAACTCACACATAGTAACTAGTGCTATATAAAATATAAAGGGAAAGTAGGAAGTTTGAATTGGGTATTGGATTTAAATAACAAATTAATTTGAGAATGGCGAATTTTGTAATTTGTTTATTGACATCGGAACCAATAAGATTTGCTTATATCGTATAAAGAAAAAATTATTAGACCAACTTTATATAAAGTTAAATAATTTTTTTGAAGACAAACAATTAATGACCTACTAAATATAAACCTTTTGTAATGTTTACATAATTTCTAGTTTTTTTTTATTAAAATTTTTATTAAGATTTAGGTTAGCATTTCGATAAGTCATTTATTAATCATTTATATAAAAATATTCTCATAAGTTTAGTGTTCTTAAAATACAACTTTACGTTAATATTAAATAATGTTATAAGCTATTGTTCGAACTGGTCAAGATAACAAATAACGTAGGACTTAGTTACATATTACGAGGGCTTAGAAAATTAGTTATTTTGAACGTCATTCCATATAAAAAATGTTTAGAAGTATTTTATAGTGATGTATTAAGTAGTTCTGGTTAAATGCACATATGTACATTCTTATTGATATATCTATTAATAGAATTAGCCTTCAGCGATTATGAAACACAATTCCTATTAAATTTTGTCAGACCTTGACCAGAATAGTCGTGTTTTGGTTTAAATTTTACGGTAATATAATATATAAACGTCACATCCTTCAACCCATCAATACAGTTTCGGTCAAAACCAGAATAATGAGCTGACTTTCGAATATTATTAACATAAATAATAATTATCGCTCCGACTTCATTTTCTTCTTGAGTACTAACGAGTAACGAGTGAAGGGTTAACGGTTCCATGGCCGATACAACAATGTGAAATTCTTATAAATTCCGTAATTAAAATTTCGATAGCGCGTTTAAATGCCAGATATTATAATCACTTCCCAATTCAGTGTTGTCCCGAATTATGACATCACGATGTAGCCGAACGACCGGCTTCATTAAAATATGTTCTTATGTTATTGCGAAACATTCCCCGTACACATTTAATCTCATTTAGTGACAGGAACTTCGTATCGGCGATTATAGTTAAGGAGCGTGGGTTGTATTAATTTGAACAAAAATGAATTCAATATTCTGTACGCTAATGATGATATTCGATTAAAGTTTCTCGCCAGTCGCCATTCGGTTCAAGCAATAGACCAGTAGATAAATTGTGACAAAATACATAATAGGTGCTTTTAGCGGTACCTCATTTCTTATCATTACTATATTAGTAGAGCTCTCTGTTTATTAATGTTCAGGTACCGAGAGGCCGGCAGCGTATTATAGCTAATAATTAATACAGTAGCAATACCTTAAAACATCTTAAATACGAATACAATAATGACTCTTATAAAGACAGAAAAAAATATATATAATGATATAATTGAATTTATTAATTAATATACTGTTGACATAAATAATAAATAAATAATGATAAAATATATTGTTTATGGCTGTAAAGCAATATCGTCGGAGACACAACAATGCAGCTCTTAGCCTATAAAGCGACTTGGAGGCCGCTACAATCTTACTTTAATTGCGTGTAACATAAATTACAGCCAACTTATTACAATCCGCTCCTGTTCTGATACATGGTGCCCAGAGGTACTCATAACTATGCGCATAATATTATATCGTATCGCATTAGTAATAAGACTGCTAATAGATTGAGGGCCATCGTGGTCGCGGCGCACTGTACGTTTTTGCCTCTAAATGCTGTGAGAATTTTAATACAATTATTCTAAACTAACCTCGCTTATGCCGTATCATTTTATTTGAACGTTCATTGTTTTAATAAAATTTCTGGGTGTGAAACGTCACCTCTTTCAGCACGTAGCTGATTTTTATTTCATCATATATATTATATTATTGATCTTTTTTCATATAAAATGCTGAATTAATTTTGATTTGTGCGATGCATTTTACCTATCTTCTGATGAATCTTTTTATAACGATTCAACTTTATAAATCTGTTTAATATAAAAATTACGATTTAATAATTGTTTAGTGATTGTATAGTTGTGCATGTATAAGTATTCTGAAGTATACCAATGATGTTTAGATTTTATTATTAGGTAATTAAAGTGGAGAACACAAACTAGAGTGCACTATATCAAAGGCTTGCAGAATAGCCGTTCTGGAAATTATTCATAGGCTAATTATCATAAAATTAACGATAATAAATCATGGCGTACCAATTAAGCCGATAGAGGACAACCGCGGGCTTAGGAACGCGGAAAAATTACTTTAAGTAGCCGAACCAATTATAATATACAACATATATATTGTGTACGGCTGTATGTTTGATAATTGTACATTCTAACATTCATGATTCATGAGCATTACTTCAAAGGATAAGGAAATATTGGAGAAAAAATTAAACATCAATTCAAACTTGTTTCACTAGAATTTAAGAAGAATTTTGAGATTTGCAAATTAATACAAAGAAAACATATTTACATAAAATGAAAATAGTATTTTGTTTTTTAAATTAGTAATAGAAAAAAATATACGTAACACGTTATTAGAACAATTCATTAGACAGCATCAGATACGTCAAGTGTGTGATATTAAAGGAGATTTATACCTAATCATAATATGTTGGAGATCGCATCTTGGAATCATTTAAAAAGTCTAGTGAGCGAGTAACTGTATCCCGGTAATGATCTAATTAGAGTGATTAATGAGCCACATTTATATCGTGGTAAGTGCCGGCCCGGCTATTTGATACAACGGACAAATGATCTATAGAGTCTTCCTATATTTTATACTGTACATACACTTTACAGCAATTCTATTACAATGAATAGCTACATCCAAAGCTATTAAATAATTTATATTTATGTTGGTTCTTTGTATGTGTTTTATGTATAATATTAATTTGTAAGTTTGATTATATTGGATGCAAACGAGATCTATCTGTTACTAGACGATCCTCATGGTTATTTACACTCGAATGACATCAGGTCGTTGCATTGCAAAGCAAGAGGCCTAGAGGGTCAGCCTTTAATTATGCCTCAGTTCAGACTGCAGTATTATCTTGTGTAAGAAGCCTTAAAGGACAATTCAACAATAAACTCGTACGAAACGTCTCGTTTGTTATATGCCTTTCTTAGATACTGAACCTGATATTATATGTTAAGTTGTGATTAATAGGAATCATTTTAATTACCGTATAATAATGCGTTACGTATATCAATAAGATTTCGAACATAATTATATATATCCCGTTCTGGTTATTTGCTGGCTACTTGCCCCAAATGATACTATCTTCAATGATTTCTTTGTAAGCGTTTCTCTAATTATACCGGTGCATTAATTATATAGAAGGGTGCAGAAAACCGAAGTTGCCTGGGGCGATGTGGACTGTACGATTATAAACATCGGAAAGTTTTTTTTTTTAATATAATTTATATTGAAAAACACCTTTCTTGATATGTTTTGTATGTTATAATTACTATGAGATATTATTATTTGATATTTATACATATGTTTACCGTTAGCTGTTCTCGATGTGTGATAATAAATTTTAAATATTATTTTAATGTTCCTGTTATGTTATAATTTGGCGTCTGTCTCAAGTTTTCGTGGTATCACTAAACTCCTTGTGATTAGCCGTCGCCGCTTAATAATCGTCTTGGCTATATTTATTACTTTAGCCGACTAATTATCAGAGAATTTTGATACTTGAGTTATTGGTCCGAGCTCCTATAACTAAAAACCCTTTATTATTCCAAACGACTATGCAGTTAACTGACTTGGAATAATTACAATGATATTTATCTATTTTAATTGAACTAAAATATTTTATTCACATGTTGTATATTATTTAATATGTATGACTAATAATGTTTATTCAGTAACATGACAAAAGTTCTGATATATTTATTGGACGAAATGTTATTTACCTTTTCTTTAATACAATTCAACAATTGTATTATAAGTGAGCATTAAAAGGTATCTAGGTAAAGCAAACTGAAGCAATAGTGTATTCGTTTTGTTCCTACAAATAAAGTCCTCGTTTCACGCAAAGGAATAGAGAACAAGCGAATTAAGCAAGATGAAGTGCTCTCACCGGTTCGCGGGGGGGATCGTGAAAAGTTCCGACTCGAACGAAAATTTTTATTTTACACAGAATTTAATTTCCTGCGTTCACGTGTCACGAGCCTCAAAAACTATTGCGCATCGCTCAGACGGTAATACAAAGCAATCTAAATTGGAAAATAGGCAATGCGCAGTGTGTGCTTACCAAAAACGACCATTCAGAATGCGACGCGATTAAAAAAAGAAGTCTGATGCCGATCGCGCCGCGGGAGGGTGCCTCCCCTTCCCCCTCCGGACCCCCTTTTTCGCTATTTTTTCTTTTTTTCGGGAGGTGGGCGAAGCACGGGTGCATGCAGCCAGTGCCCACCTTTGTTTCGCATAAACAAATTAATTTCGGCCGCTGTTTTTGATGCCTAATTCGTCGGGTGATCGTGAACCAACAACGCGGAATAAACCTTAATCGGGCCGCTTTCAAATATGATTCTAAGCAAGCCGTACATCATAATTGTGATGAGTTTGAAAACTAAAACATATTAATGTACTGAACAAAACGTTGTATATATTTACTCAAAACTTACTATAAACGCTGTTCTAAAACGATCGATTCAAACGTAATAGAAGCTAATCGAGCTTTTTCCTAACACTCCGACATTAGGGATAAAACAAAGGGCCGCGAAAAATATGATATGGCTGATGGAATCAGGTGATAATCAGGCACTTGGGGCACACGTCGGAGCGGGCGGCACTCATTAAGGGGGTGGGCGGCAGGACAATGCATGTTTGTACTGTTTTTGTCCATTTTTTTTCATTATTTCATTTCATTTCGCCCACCACCCACACATCCGCGCTCGCGATTGTGCGCCTCCGCTTTTTTATAATTCGTTACCTTTTTTATCGGCCGCTCCATTTTCAGAGGATGGGCGCTGTCGCATGCGAGCGCTCCGAACGCCGCGATTCCTATCTAGCGTTATTTAGACCGAATTGGATACATCCTACGAATATTTAAAGCCTATCGACAATGTATCAAAAAATGTCATCGGATTATACGATAGTCTTGGCTTTCATAAAATCTATAGATTTTCGGGAAAACTAATTCAACAAAATTATAAATATAAATATAATTTATTTATAAAATATATTATAGTATTAAAATTTTCGCAAATATTTCTAAGTGATCAAATGAAAATTCTAAACAATGCACATTGTGTTTCGAAATGTATTACTGAAATAAATTTCATCAAGTATTAATCAGTCAGATCGTGTTTTGTTACAGATAAAAACAATTGATCCAAGTAATGAAAGAAATAAAGCTGAAATGATAATAAAAAAAACCATCAAAGAATGTGGACGGCTATCTAAACGTTTGCTCTGTGATTGACTTAGCAATAATCATAATAGCCTTATTGGGTGCAGTGGCAGGTGACAATCCATTGTACCGTACAGTATCTCATACAATCTATATATATTTTTTTTAATTTTATTACACTATGTTATTAATCCTTGATAGAAATGAATAGACCGGTGGTATTTTTTATTGGAACAGGCTTTGTAACTTTTATTTACAGTCGTGAATGATTGTTTGATTTGATTTCTTTTTTTTTATTATTTTTATTGTAATTGCGAATGATTGTTTTGATGGTTATTGTTTTCATGATATTTATCTAACATCGCTGTACATTATTTCTAATCAATATGTACGCTGCTAACATTTATTCGGTGGAATATTTTGTTTACGTCGTACTTAAACGAGAGTTGTAAAAAATCGGAAAGCTAATAACAAAATCAATTTACGTAATGGTAATTGAATCCTTTTGAAGTATATAGCGATCCAATAGAAAGTGTCCGTGATTCTGCATAACGGGCTGTCTTTAAATGCATGCTGCATTGATTTTTCTTGCATGCATGCCAGCGTCGTTGTTAATATTAATATTATTATGATTTCATGGTTCGGTTTTGTAATGAATAAAACACTAGCCGCGTCCAATCTGGAAGAACTTCGTATACCTATATAACCTTTTTCCATATACATGCATAAATACCAAAACCAAAAAAAAATCAAATTAGTTAAAGTAATAAATAAAACATAATAAATGAAAATAATTATATTTATATATATATTTTATATTTATATAAAGGTAAACACAATGCATGTTATGTATGACTCTTTATTGTACATACGTTATATTCGTAATATTTATATGTATTAAAATTCCCTGTGGGTTTGGGTTTCTTATTTGATTATTTCAGCAAGTCTGTGAGAGTTCATCGGCTTGAATATTCATCGGCAGATAATAGGATTTCTGTTATTTTGTTTCGCTCATAAATGTTATGAGCATCTGACGATTGTTATCGCTTTAGTACGGATACTAACATACACTTACTTACAACTTTCAATTGTAAATCGAATATGAATTTTTATTCGTATTCATGAATAATATATGTGAGAAAGTGATGTCGATTTGTGAAAAAAATTATTACATCAATACTTTCTTAATAATATGTAAGGAAGGATTATTTTTAATACGCCGTCGTTATCGGCCTATCAGAGCCCACTGCTGTAAGGCCTCTTCTCACATGGAGAAGGTTTGAGCATTAATCACCACGCTTGCTTAAGACGGGTTGGTGATTTTTTAATACGTCTAATCCTCCGTCAATATAATTTAATGTTTAACAAAAATGTAATTCCAATGGTTTAATTCTATAGAATCAGTTCATACATTTAATATCATTGTTTAATATTTACTGTCATTATGCGACACTAGTTCGAATGAGTGTTTCGTGTTTACATAAAACTAATGCATTGAAAATCTAGCACATTAAAAAAAAACAAGCAATAAATCGATTTTACATTATCGATTTAATTTTTACACGTACAACACAAAACTATTATTAGGATGGAGTTTCAGTACAAAAATCAGTGTTGATCATATGAAGTGTAGAAGAAAATGTATTATAGCGAAATAGTAAATTAGCAATTGTAATTAAAACTAAATTCGGTGGCATTAGACGTAGAATCACGTGCTAATTGCTGGCTACAACCGCGACGCGAGCCTGACAAACGACTTTGATCAATCACCCCGTGCTCGGCCGCGGGTGCTACGATTTATTTTGACCATACCTCGAGGGTCTGACCCCTGCAGGCGAATATGACCCATAGTATGCATGACATAAAAGCGGTTTTGTCATCGACTAACGTATTCTTGTGATGTATGATGCAAATGATTTTTTCCTTGACTGCTTTGCGGATCAAATTTGTTGAAATTGTATATAGTTAGGTTTACACACACGTTTTTCTATGCATTTTAAATATTTATTGTATATTATTAGTGGTTCAGTAGTAGTAAGGTTCCTTAAGGTTTCTAATAAAATGATATTTTTTAATAATTTCTTCAACCTACATTTATTAGAAATCGTAATTGTGACAATATCTGTATTCAGATTTTAAAATATTCACGCGTATATAAATATTATTATTAATTATAATTTTAAAATTCTGTTAAATAATATACCACATTTTTGGTGTATAGGTATATTTTTTTAAAAATTATGGATAACAATAATAAATTCTAAAACAGATTACTTTAAAAAGTTTGACTTAACTAAAATCAGAGTGTAATTATTATTTTTTAAATTTAATACATCGAATATTATGTTACGTTAAATTTATTGTGTTTATTTTTTTAATATAAAATATATGTAGACTTAACAGTATATAAAATTTTTGTTTTACAAAATTTTATTCGTAAGTATTTTAAAACGTTAGTATTAAAAAAGAATAGCTTAAAAGTTCGTGTGTATTACCATAATGAAAACAAAATATTATTAAAGACAAAATAAAATAGAATTATTATTATTATTCTTAACATTAGTACCAGTTTCTTTTCCACTTTTTACATTTTTACATTAATTTACCTAGTATCATTTTGAAGGAGATTGCGTTTCCTTTTTAGAATTGAGATTGTTTCTCACAATATACTTTCTTTATTTCTAATTAAAATATAATATAACGGTAATGTGTCACGTTACTTACATATCTTTGTAATTGCACATTGCAATATCTACGTAAGTTAATATTAAACATACCTTTTATCTTTTACACAAAAAAATAAATTTTATTTCCCTATGTCAAATAAAAACCGCGTAATGTGACCGAAAAAATAAACACCTCGGAAATTTCACTATAAGTTTGTAAATTTACAAGGCAATTAAAATAAAAAATGGGATGCACCCCAGCACGGCCACCCCTTTAATTATGATTTTTTCCATTTTTTAATGATAATAAATTTGCTGAGCTGCGGCGTGCGCTTACAGCGGTAATTCTTTGTAGAATCTGATCACCTTTTCTTTTACAGATATGCTTTTGTGTATTTTTATAACAAACTACACAAGCCGCAACAACTTATAAATTAGCTTAGTATTCTAGCTTACAATAAGCCACTCTTTTGTACGGTAGGTACTCGAAGATTAACCAACTGTTTGTACGAAACTGTACACCCAAAGTATCCTTTATCCTGTTTTCATATTTTTATTTCATTTCATACGTATATGTCAAAACTGTTCGTATCACTTTACTTCTAGGAAATGATAAATTTAAACCATACAGAAATCCACATTTGGATAAAAAATTGGCAAAAATTTTTTTTTACAAGCACGCCGAAATTGTATTCAAATCATTACATTTTTATAATTTAGCTCTCGAAGTGTATTTCAAAAGAAACGCTGATTCAAATTGATACAGTATTGGGTAGATCGAAAAAACCACCGGTTAATGAAAAAAACTACACGCAGTCAATATTTGATGAGAGCCAATTTAAATGTTCGTCCACTTGTAGACATCGCATAGTTCGCTGTAGCTGTATCGCATATGTGGGGTGGTAACGCCCGCCGATTTCCCGAAAAAAAGAAAAACGAAGAAAAATAAACATGGCGGCGCCTCGGTGCGCGCGGGAAAAAATGCAGATATAATGCCAGTAATAATAATAATAATAGGCGATCGGCCGTCGGACCCGCCGCCTGCCTCCACCCAATTTTCATTCAAATGTGCTTTCGTTTTTTATTTTTTAACTATTTTTTCCAATATTTTTCGGGATTTCCATTACTAAAGCGTCTGTCGGAATAGTTGCGGTGTTTGCTTTCAATAACTGTTAGAAGATTTTACTGAGATAAAAGTGTTTCAATGAGACATTCTTTTGACATGTTTCAGTAGGGGGCGGTGATTAGGTAAGTATTCTATAAAGAACTGTTGTTTTCAATTCAGCAAGTTTCCTGTATGGTTTTTAATGCTTATTTGTGTTATTTTTCTTTATATAAAATATTTAACAACTTTAATAGCTGTTACTTTTGAACTGTTAGAGATTCAAGTTGTGATAAACGTGATTTTCTGCATTTACCGATAAATAAATTTTCGAACAATGGTAATTGCTTATTTAGTATTTATATCTTAGAACTGTGTTTATGCAACATAATTTCAATATTTGTAAGATATGATAACTTGAAACTTAAAAAACTCAAAAAAGAGTTGTCTGTTTAACGTCAAGAAAAGCTTAGTTAGTGCCGAATGAAAAAGAAAAACGTCCGAGAACAGAGTAACACAATGCGACATGACATTCAATTTAAACTCGGCCGACGGAGCACGCGTTCAATAATTAACATAATGTACTTTTTCTCCTTTTTGCACTTCCCGTTTGACACTCCATCACTCATGGAAATTCCATTTTCAATGCTGCTCTATATGAGGGGAGGGGTGCGAGGTGGTCTTCGCATCCGCGCAATGGACATGGCGGTTTCGGGGTGAAGGGGTGGTCGAAAAAAAGATTGTTAAAAAGGCTGGCCCCCGGGACGGCGATGTGTGAGTGCGTGCGGGTAAAAAAGCTCACTAATCGATACTATAGATTCTGAAGCAAGTAGGTTGCGCCGGTTCCACGGTACCACGGTTGCACGGCGATTGGTCGGCTGCTATCGTTCGGATGTTTTTTACGGAGGCCTCTAACGAAGCGGTGGATGTTTAGTCTTTCGGCGCAATCGTGAGGACCTTTTGAGCCGGGCCGAGTCGTCTTTTTACAACCCGATGCAGCCTAACTCTACGGTCAACACTTGAAAATTAAGCGTGCATATTCGCACTTAACTTTGTCCTTGTTCCTACTCTTTTAGCCACGTGTTTATAAAGAAAAACATTCCGCCTTTTGGTTTGTTTGCTATTGCGTTTAAAGTTTTGCATTGTTTGCGATACTCAAAGTGGATTACAGCTTTTGTTTGACTTTACGTGTCTGCTTCTTCTATCTTTGTTTTTTGGCAATTATACTTAAAGATGGCGTAGTTCGAAAAGATTACATTTTGCTACGTTTGTTTTTTATTTTACTTTTGTATACTTTTATCCATTGAAGAATATATTTCGTTAAAAAAATCATATAATAAAATATACGTTTTAAATGTTCCTTTTCAATAAGTGCTCTAAATAAATATATATAACAAAATATATATGTATAAGAAAAATATATAATATTTATAAGATATAAATATTTTTTTGACTTCATTACTTTTACTACATATTATCTTAAGAACATCAAGTGCCTACGTTCCAATATTATCTCATCATATTATAAATATCATATTATAAAACATAAATAGTGACAAACTCTTTTTAATTTTTAATACTTTTCCTAACTAATTTTTAGTACTTTTATAATCTAATAACTAAAAAATTGTCTCATGACAATAAAGTGATTTTTTATCGTAAAATTTGTGAGTCGAGTGCCTCAAAAATAGTTTAACGTAATAACGTCACGTATTCTATTTTTTTATAATATTTATTGATGGTAAAAAGTAAAAATAGTTTTATGCAACAATTAAAAATAACTTCACTTCACCAAAAAGACAAAGTTAAACATTTTTGCGTTTTGAGAGGCACGCCTTAGATTAACTTTTAAATTTTCATGAGCCCAAAGTACTGCTGGGTGTAAAACAGGTCTTATTTGTACTGATGTAATAAATAAACGTTATATTAAACCTCTAAATAAACGAAAATAGGGAAAAATAGCGAAAATAAACGAAAATAAAAACGAGAACGAAAACGAAAACAAAAATAGGGAAAATAAACGAAAATAGGGAAAAATGCTCCTAACATACATAGGGCGTAATATAGAGTAAAAAAATGTTAAACATGTGGATTTTTTATTTTATTGTTATTAACTTTCATACCCAAAAAATCTATAAAATCCATCTTTGAGAATACCTTTACTGTGGGAGATGCAAATAATATGTTAAATAAAATATATTCAGATTCTAAAGAAACATCAGAAGTTGTCAAGAAAGTAAGAATATTACCTTTTATTTTTGATATCTCAAACCTTCATCTGATTAAAAAAATAAATAGGATTAACTGAATATAAAGATTTATTTATTGAAAGGTAATTTTCAAATATTATATTTAAAGCAATGCGTTTATCAAGCTACAATATAAGCTTTTTATTTGGTTTGATCCGTGGCCGGCAGCCGAGATTTAGAGCGTTAAAAGATTTAGCCCTTAATAAACTCAAATTCAGGTTTTTAAATATCATAAATATGTATATGTGACTAAAAGTATATTTGCATTTAGACTCAAGAAAAACTAAATGACGAAAATCTTCAAGAATCTCAGTCACGCCAAAACTTAAGTTACTAGCAACATTATTAAGAAAGAAAAATACCAAAAGTAGGGCAGACTAAAACATTTTATCCAGGGTCCAAGACAATATAACAAAGCATAATAAGGGGTATACAACGTTAAGCGAGTGTGGGTTAAGTGGCTCACCTCATTCTTCAAGTTGATGGGCTCTCGCTGTCGGGGCGGCGAGTGTCTGCCCGCGTCCCCCTCCTGCATGTCAGCCTCGCATCCCGACTCGTCTGTACATCATACATTATCATTATTACGTAACCAACATTATTTATATATACACTATATTATTATTATGTACTTCCTAAGAATATTCAGACACCACTGACAAACGGTAAAGGAAAACATCGTGAGGAAACCTGGACTTATAATTTCACAATTATAAGTTCGAAATCATCAACCCGTCTGAGCAAGCGTGGTGATTAATGCTCAAACCTTCTCCAAGTGAGAAGAGGCCTTTGCTCAGCAGTGGACTCTGATAGGCTGATGACGGTGATGCATTATTTTAGAGCAACGTTAATCTTAATGAGATCTTAGACTTTCGCGAGTACTCATTCAAATGAAACCAATATTTGCGGATTACTACGCGTATTTTATTATTGTAAAAACTATATACTCAAAAAGTTTAGGTTACTTTACAGCAACCGTGATCACGGACAGACGAGATGTGAATGTCTGTCAGTTGTTCTTGTTGGTCTTGTTAACAGAGTAACCGAAACGTCGGGAGTATGTAGTTTTTAAAATATAATAAAATACGCGGAATATTTTGAATATATAAGTTTTATTTAAATGTTAAGTTTATTTTTATTGTAAAATATAGAACTTGATTCAATACTACGACCACCAGTATATAGCGTTCTAGTTACTTTATACTTTTTAATTCGTAACTAAAATTATGCTAATCTTCTCATATGTAAAGTTATTTCTCATTATTTTTTATTATCATTATCAAGATGTATTTATTAATTATTATCAAGATATATAATTTAATATTTTTATCTCCTAATGTATCTGCAATTCGACAAACTTATTAATATATTATCATAACAAATACTTAGTTCCAATAATAAAAGAAATATAAGTAAATAAATAATAGTTAAAATTATAATCATATAATACATATGAAAACCAACAAAAAATGAATCTTCATACAAACATTAACAAATACCATATATATATTTATCGTATGTTGAATGTCATTCAATCTGTACACTGTTCACTTCTATACAAATATACCTAGACGTATCAAAACAAACACAGTATATCGGACATGCGGAGGAAAGTAAAAGAACGAAAACCATGACCGTCCCCAACCCGGGCGCAAGTAGGTCAAGACCCGGAATGGGGAAGGAAAATTCCCGTCTATTTACCTGGGGGAAGCCCCGTCTGAACGAAACAACTTTCCGGATTACATTGCTTACACACACCAAACATACTACTCACACCTTTTTTTATTGACTTAGATTACAAATTTACTTTCTATGTTTTGAAGACGTTCTATAATATATGTACATGTAGTGTTTTAAGTTATAGTTGAGGTACAACGATGTTTTGCTGAATAATTTATTGTTGATCTATTTGTATTATGATACTAAATATATCTCACAAATCACTATCCACTACCACAATATTAAGACGTATGAAAGCAACGAGACTATTTATTATTTTCTTCTCTGAAAGCTCCCACACCGATTTAATAATTCTTGGAAAATCGGCGCCGAATAATACAAATAATATCCGTATTGAATGCTGCATATTTTACATCCATTATTATATAAGATATTTACATTTAATATTAGTTTGTTTCAACAAACTATACAGTTTGTTCGAGTTAAAAAAAAATGATTATTGGTTTATTTTAAGTATTAAAAATTAGACATCTCGTAAATAAATTCAATTTAATAAAAAATATTATTTTTATGTGCATAATGTATTATAGAAAAGAATAAAGTGCTGGCGGAATGTCTTCGTGTAATATTCAGAAGCAGTTAAAGTATATTTATTAGAGAATGTAAGCTGCAGTCCTTTGTGGCAGGTCATTATTGTCTCTCCGTAGAGCTATTAATTTTCATAAGTTATATTTAGATCATCGCGTTATGATCATAAGAATCATATTCGATTAACCAAATATCGTGTGTGCTACGTGTTACATAACAAACATACTAAAACTGCATCTTGCAGTGCAATTAACCGGCATACGAAATCGGACCTTAAATACATTACAAACTAAGACACCAGCGATCATTGTTCTGCAAATAGCTGGTCGGCCTAAGCAATAGGAACTGATGCCAAAACGTAGCAGCCGTCGAATATGATTGCTCCTAATGCGGCGGGTGGAGTTGAGGGGGGGAGCAGTCGACGTTGGGAGGGCAGGGGGGGAGGAGGGTTACTGCGTCGCGCCGTGTTCCTGACCGAGCAGTAAGTCTGGCTTAATCCTATCGGAAACGCGGGCCCCCATTGAAGATCGGCAAGGACTCGATATGGGGCAGCGATCCGACGATATATCTCGAGATATCCGTAGCTTTAGAGATTGGTGACTGTATTTGCCTTCCCAGAAAGGAAATCTATCTGTGTGCAGTGCCAATAAATTATTGCGCTTGCAATTAAAAGTCTAGATCAGATTGAATTAAGGTACAAGAATCGATATCGTTCTACATGCAGTTCGATTTATTACACTCCGACCGGCAGGCCACTATTCTAATTAAATTATTTTACTCTATAATACAAATAAATAATTATATATAATCAGCCAGTCCTGTTCAGAGACCAGTTCTCGAATTAGCATTCCGTAATAAACTTTTGCATTTGCCGGACGAAAAAGTAATCAAAACAATAAATATAGCTTGAAGGGCAACTGTAAACCTGGCAACTGATCGATTAATTGACTTTCCATAGTTTTGACAGCTGCCTTTTGTTTGACGTGTTTCGACCGGTGCTATACGCATTAAGTATTTGTAGACGCATGCAAGTTGTAATGAATTAAAACAAGTAAAAAAAACTCTCAATTATATATAATTTATATTTCTTTGAACGATAATATAATAATAATTATAACAAACATTGTTATACAACAAATATTCATATATATAATAATGTGGCAAGTGTATTTGATCTAAAATCCGATGCATATTTATATTAGAGCCGGTATTTTGTCAATGTAGCCGACAGCCGATCGGCATCAAAAGCCGGGACTTATCCCGCCTTCAGCCTCCTCGTGTAGATCTAGGCGAGGGGGGACATTACAAATTAATAGCACAAAGACCAGCCGCAGATCGCCTGCGAAAATTTACAGGCTCTAGACACTTATAGTGCACTGCAGACGATAAAGGCTATGTACACGTATTATATATTAAGGTGTTAGTACTGGCTTTGGGATAAATTTCTGACGGTTAACACCCTTTGTTGGGTAATCTTTTGACCGGATAGCTCATTATGGTTGGAAAATAAATCTACATCATTTACGATGATTGAGATTTAAACAGTAACTAATGCAAATTTTTTATATAGAGGTCTATTTCGATATTAATATTATATCTTTTTGAAACTTAAACTAGCTTTGACTCCAATGTTTTCTGGCGTGTCATATCAATAAATACTTGTATTCATACCATTCAGAGCTCTGTCTACAATTAAAGTTATGGACACGTCGTACGCCTTTGACAAAGGTACGTCCATATTATTCTCCTATAACACTTCGACTTTCCATTTGACCGAGTTAGACAGTTCATTGATGATATTCAAACCAGTTATAAAGCTGCTTAAATATTCCGCATTATATATAAATATTATATATCTTTATATATATAATTCTTCTGTGAGTGTGTATGTCACTGAACTTCTCTCAAACGACTGGAACGATTTTGATGAAATTTTTTGTTTGTGTTCAAGGGGATCTGGGAATTGTTTAGATTCACAATTTGCCCGCTGGACAATTTTTTTTAATTAATTTTTAATTTATTAGTTAGTCAATCATTCTGTTGCACTTCAAAACACGGAGATTTATGGCTTTACTAGGTAAACTCCAAAAATATAAATAAAAAAACGTAACAGATATTTCTTGATTATAGGGCGATACGAAGTTCGTCGGGTCTTCTAGTATTTATATAAATAAAAATATATTAATCAAATGTACTGATTATTATTTTAGTAACGTGTATTTACGTAAATATTGAAAATTTCAACACTATAGTAAGATTAGATTAAAACCGTGGCAGTTTTGAGTTCAGTTCATAAAACATTTATCATTGAATTACAATAAAATTTATTCTTCTTTATTAAAATATGAATATAATATTATTTTGATATGAATGAATTTGTTATGAGGTAATGCGATTTGGTTATTTAGAATGTAACACAAATTTTCATGACGTTATCTCTATATTACTGTGATGATGTCAATTTAAGCATATTATTATGTATTCCTTAACTTTTTATATATATATAAATACTTGCTATAAGAATACATTAAAACATAAATCAATACAGTGAATGGTTTTTACAATACATATGTATGTTGTTTTATTAAGAGCAAATTAAGTTTATTTAATACCAAGTTTCGTCTTATTGCTTTAGTAATAAAGCTTATATTTATGAATCAAAATTTATGTTTTTAATTTTTATTTTTACTTAATATATGTATATTTATTAAGGCGTTTTAAATGGTGTAATCGTCTTAAACAATTACTGTATATATTTTGTTGTAAAAACTAATACTATTTTCTAAGTCCGCGTCTCTGGCCCGACCCAACCGGAGCTGTTTCACTAGTTTTAATTCAGACACTCACTCTAACAAGCAACGTACATACAAAGAGAAACGCCATCCATTAGCCAGGATTGTTGAATACTTAACAAAGATTATTTTAACAATCCTTTTTGCTTAATACTTTTTCTGTACGTTTCGAATATCATTCGTCGAAGCTTTAACGAATGCTCTACAAAAGTAAGCGGACAAATTGCTTCTAAAACAACAAAAGCCAACCGGAAAAATTCACAATCGTACCGAATCATTAATCTCAGAAACAAATGGAAATCGGCCGACATCTGCTATACTGTGCTCGAAAAAATGGCGGGCATAGTCGACAGTTGTCACGTTATTCTCGACGGGATTAATTAGAAATGCGATTAAAAGCAAACAAAACAGGGAATTGTGAACTTAAATTAATGAAAAATTACCACCCTCCGAGCACTCGTCAACTCTTTTTTTACGGGGTCGCTCCCGCGCATTAAGCGGCTTTAATTTGAATTCGAAATTAGAATTACGCGCGCTTTATAATTATTGTTTTTTTTTTTGTTTTAGCGACCGGTGACATTACAAATCTATAAATATTATATTATACAACAAATATACACCTTCAAGGTAAACAAAAGGTTCACCTCACCTGAACTTTGAAATGAAATATCGGTTATAATTATTTTATCATATAAATTGCTGGTTTTAACTAACAACATTGGTCAAAACGGAATTTAGTATACCTAGATTAATTTAATATTAATATAAAAGAAACAGATATAACTTACGGAACTGTATTCTAAACAAAAATCAGAATTAAAAAATTGCAGGCATCATAAAAAAGTTAATGACGCACACGCATGACTTTACCGCGCAATTTAAATTTAGAACAATGGCGTTCGGAAATAATAAGTGATCGGGACACCCGAAGGGCAATGATGAGTGCTTTTGTACGGCGAGTGCGCGACAAGAGCACTCTACGTACGCTTCGAGGAATCAGAGGAGTTTTTTAATATTTTTTTTAAACAGCCAGCAATAATGTTTCATTTGATACATTTGTTGCTAAGTCAGTCAGTACAACGTAGAATATAATATATATTATTATTCAATAGCAATCAGATCTATATAAAAGGTACCGCTATTTGTTTGTCTTATAAAGGGTAGGGAAAAAAATCCCTACCCTTTATAAGACAAACTTTTTTTCCCTACCCTTTATACTAATATTAAAACAATAATTTTATATCTATATATAGATCTATATATAGATGTATCTATCATTAGTATGATGTGAATATATCAAGTATTTTTAAACACAACATGAACTTCATTAGAGTGAAGAAACAAAACAAACACGCTTACATAACCCACGAAATAGCCCACCGACTCGCAAAAGCACAAAAAAAAATACTGTCACTTCTTTGATGTAAAATAATAGTTCATTTAAACATAAGTTTATTACTCTAACATCAAGGGAACAATTGTTATGGTGAAGGAAACTTTGCGAGTGTAAAATGCGCTCTAATGCGTGATTTATGAGGGAATTACACGATGCAAGTAATTGCAAGTCAACGCTCAAATAAGCGCATGTTATGCAACTCCTTCCACTATATATGAGAACAATGGTGACAATTTAACGGTCTGCAAGCTGTACGACGTCCTGCCGAGATCATTTGTATTTTTATCTCGGTTTGATTCAATTGATTTAGACAAAATATATATTGATTTAGGCAAAATAAATATTAAGCCTAACGAGCTGGCTATTGGACCGTAAGATCTTATTCATAACGCATCAGCTTAGATGTTTTTCTGAACTTAAAGTCAGATTTCTGCTCCTATAACTTTTTAAGAGTTCTAACAATATTTGATTTCTTATATTTGTTTGTACGTGATATGGTAACAATATTCAACTATAATGATACATAAGTACACGTAATATACAACTTATTAATTGTCGAACGAGCTTCAGTAATAACACATACAAATAAGATGTATTTACTATTAACCTAGGCCGATGCGCAGGCGTCTTTTCGACAATCCCAAAATGATTTATCCTAGCCTGAAATATATCAAAATGAAAAGCAAATATAATTTTTATTATTTAATTATTTATAATTTAAATTTAATTGTGGGTAACAGTAGCAGGACTTAACTAGTTTATATCATAAGAATTCAATGTTTTGAAGGTATCTCTTATCAAATGTCAAACACTAATTATAATTATTTTATGCAGCATGATCTATAGACGAATGTGTTTAGAAAATATATCAACATTTATATTGTTAAATTTTACCTTAATAAAACGAATCGTTGTATATTTGAACATATAATATAAATAGTTACAACTGAAACTAAGCAAAAAAAATACTTCTTTACTATAAAGAAGTATTTTTTTTGCTTTTTAACTAATTTTACGTTATATATTTACGTTTATAACTAATCATTCTAAGGGAATATTTACAGTTTAAACTATTTTTAGTATTACATTAAATGAATCTTTATTATTTAATGTGCTCCATAATACGTCAGCTTACAATATCTCAGCTTTGTGTTATTTTATTATTAGTATGTGTCCATTGCTTATAAAATGCAAATGTGCTTATTTGAATAAACAGACCGTCCTTAGAAACTGTTTTGATTGTAAAATATTATCACCGTTATTAAAAACATATATTAAGGGGAGATTTGTTTATTGAGTTGTATCTGTTTTATATGACTAGTTGCTGTGGCTATGTTCGCGTCTTGATAAGTAACAGAAATGCGCTGTACAGATAGACTGATAGTTTTTTTTAATTCAAGAAATAATATGAATATCGTTGTAAATTTTAATTAGAACTATTTTAATGTTACATTTGTGTCATAACAGTCAAAGCTGATCTAGGGCCGGGCGATGACTCACCACTGAATCAGACATTAAAACATTCACTTATAACATAACATGATACTATAGAAAGTGCGTCTCAAACTACAAACTCTGTCGTACACACGATAAGTATCATCGTAACGTGAACCTAATATAGATCAACCGCATACGAAAACCGATTTCAGTTTGAACATTTAAACACGACATTAACCCGCGAACATTTACAGATATCGGTCAATTAAATGGCGAGTGAGATAACAATTGAAAACGATTTCACTTTCGCCCGTCCCGGTTAACGCGCTAAATATAATAATAGATGAAGAGATACATCAATGGGTACGTAGTAATACGGCCGGTACGGAAATTATATTTTTTGTTGTATTATAAACTTTATTCTGACGGGATACGAGCGAGGTGCGCGGCCCGCGGCACTTTCAGTTTCCGATTGCACAGATTAAATAAATGTTGGTAGTCTGTTGACGCGCTTTGACCACATGTTTTGTGGCTGAATACTTATGAACGTGTGTTTTAATAAATAATAGACTAGCGCTTTGAATTGTTCCCGATGTGTTTGGTATTTATATTCCAATAGGATTGACGACGATTCCAATTCACTTAATGAATTTTGTGTCCGTATATTATATGGGAAAAATGCATTCGTTATATTAGAGTGATATTGTTTTAGATTGTCGGATAGTTATCAAGTGTAGATAGTGGATTCTTTTTGGTCCATTAGTATTCAAAAATTGTCAAAAGGATTTGAATATGGGACGTGGATGGAAAATGTGTTCCGATGGAGAATGGAGGATGGAGTTATGGTGATTCGTCATTTTGAATTTCACGAGGAAAATCCGACTTAGCGAAAAAAACATATCGAGTATAAAACAAAAGCTTGTAATAAAACTCGTAGAATTATAAATGTAAAGAACGTCCTATTCACAGCTTGTAAAACATCTAATTCACAATAGAGTGTCTGTCTCAGAGCTTTAGAACCTCTCAATGTCACATCGTTTTCATCTATTAGTTTATTTCTTATTTTATAATAACAATAACACAATTATTTGCACAATAAAGCGGCCCGTCGAG